GACTTTATTTTATTTAAAATTTATTTAAATCAAAAAATTAAATAATTAAATAACTCAAAAATCCCGCTCAAATGTCAAATCTGTATCATATAAGCATGACATGGCAATATTTTGCCATCCAAGCAGCCAACCGGGTGTATCCCAAACGACTGTTAAGTTGGCGTAAGGAGAAGGGCTTAATTGCTTTGATCTCAGAGTTCAAGGGCTTACATGCATCAATTAAAGTCTATGGACTTAATGACAATTCTGGGATTAGTTCAGGAGCTTAACTTATGGTTTTGCCTTTCTTTTTCTTCGCTTTCTCTTTTTCTTTCCTCTATTTTCTTCGCTTTCTCTTTTTCTTTTCTTTATTTTTTTCTTTTTCCTTTTTCTTTTTATTTTACTTTTTCTGCGTTAGCGTGTAAAAGAATTTTTCAAGGATGAAACAGGGTAGAAAGCTTGCAGCCTTGTACCCATTCACTAGCCATGTTGCCGTTGGGTCATCGACAGCAAGAGACATCATTCATAACATATTTTTTGGGTTAAAACCCCATTTTGGTCCCTAAACTATTGTACGGACCCTTGATTTGGTCCCTAAACTAAAAAAATCCCTGATTTGGTTGCCCAGCATGCTTGGGTTCCATCGAACCCAGCATGCCTGGGTTCCAAAAGAAAATAGAAATTTATGTTTTCTTTGTTTGGGTTTTGTTGTTTGATGATATGAGAAATTGATTGATGAAGATGAAGAAGGCAAGGCAGCCGTTGGGTTTTTGCAGGTGGATGAAGATGAAGAAGGCAAGGCAGCCGTTGGGTTTTTGCAGGTGGATGAAGATGAAGAAGGCATAGGTGTTGGGTTCGATTTTGAACCCAGCAAGCAATCGAACCTAGCATCAAACCCAGCAGCTGCTGGGTTCCTGCAGTGCTGGGTTCGATTTCGAACCCAGCAGGCACTGTGTTCAAGTTGGGTTCCTGCAGGTGCTGGGTTCGAAGGTGCTGGGTTTGATTTCAAACCCAATAGGCACTGGGTTTCGTTTCTAACCCATGGATCTGTTGAGTTCCATTTGTTTCAAACTCAGCAGTTGTTGGGTCAATGGATTTGTTGAGTTCGATCTATTTATGGATTTGTTATCTGTTGTGTTATTATCATATTCTTGCAGGTGCTAGATTCGATTTTAAACCTAGCAAGTGTTGGGTTTTGTTTCCAACCCAACTGCAGTTGGATTGAAGGATCTATTGATTTCTATTTGTTAGTTTGTTGTGTTATTCTCGAATTTAATATTAGAAAATGTTAGGGTTTGCAGAAGGTGAAAGGAAAGGGAGAGGAAGAAGAAAGGGAAAAAAGAAAAACAAAGAAAGAAAAAAAAAGAAGAAAAATTTTAAAGTAATTTCTTGCCATCTCATTTTTTTTGCCACGCTATACATCTTAGGTGTCAAAATGTTTTAACATGTCATCCTTTTCTCGGTCAAGTAACAAGACACGTAAGCAGGTATTTAACGGAAGGACCAAATTGGGGTAAAAATGGTAAACAGTAGGGACCAAAT